TGTCCTTGGGGTTCATGCCGCAGCGTGAGGTGTCCTTGGGGTTCGCTCTGCAACGTGAGGTGTCCTTGGGGTTCATGCCGCAGCGTGAGGTGTCCTTGGGGTTCGCTCTGCAATTTGAGGTGTCCTTGGGGTTCGCTCTGCAGCGTGAGGTGTCCTTGTGGTTCGCACTGCAGCGTGAGGTGTCATTTGGGTTCACTCTGCTGTCTGAGGTGTCTTTAGGGTTTGCTCTGCTGTCTGATGTGTGCTTGGAGTTCACCCTCCTGTGTGAGGTGTTCTTGGGGTTCACTCTACAGTGAGGTGTTCTTGCGGTTCACTCGGCTGTGTGAGGTGTTCTTGGGGTTCACTCTACAGTGAGGTGTTCTTGTGGTTCACTCGGCTGTGTGAGATGTTCTTGGGGTTCACTGTGCCATGTGAGGTGTTTACTCTGCAGTGTGAACTCTCCTTGTGGTTCACTCTGCTGTGTGAGGTGTGAAGTCTCCCCGTGTTTCGCTCTGCAATGTGTGGTGTTCTTGGGGTTCGCTGGGCTGTGCGAGGTCACTCCCCTGAGTGGTGATTAAAACGTTGCAGAGGGAGAGAATGGAAGAGTTAGAGAGGAAGAGGAGGAGTGCTTGGAGGAAAAGGCAAGGTAGCGTTAGAGAGAGAATGATGGGATTCTTAGTCATCTCTACCCTAACAACTAATAAATACAGGTGAGAAACAAAATGACCTTTTCACAAGCCTTTATTGAAGATCACTAAACCAACAGCGTTTGTCGATATGATCTTAGAAGATAAGAATAATGGAAAAGGAAAGTGAGTCGCAGAGAGTGATCTATCTACAGCCTCTCTGTCTGTGGCATGATTTCCCCACACACACACAGAAGCACTCCAGCCCTGTGTGTCACACACTCCATCAACACACCACGCTATTAAAGGCCGCCAATTGAGACTATGAGACTGTAGACATTAACAAACTAGGGACCCAGAAAAGGAGAGCACGAGAGAGACAGAGAGAGGAGACTTGTCACTTTATCG